TACGACGTTGTTAGGTATAAAGTGGGCATTTTTGAAGAATTGGGTGTGCCTGCTTTGTTGCTGTGCACCCTCTTGCAAGAGTATTAAATTCAATAAAAGATATTTTCTGTTTCATTGAAAGAAGTCCGTCTCCAGCCGTTACTTATTGGTAAGAACAAATTTCATAAATGTCAACAATATATTGTACAAACTAAGCTTTTCACCCTTTCCCCAACTTTGAGGTGCCCCCTTTGGCCCTGGTGCCCTAAGCACGTGCTTAGTCTGCTTAATGGTTAATCTGCCCCTGCAGGTAACACAGGAAGTACAGAAAGAGGAAGTGCAAACAGTTTACACTGCCTCTTCCCCAGTTTCTGTGTAACATTTGACGCATTCTTAAATAAATGACATGGCATTATTATACTATGATACAGAGAGGCTTCTTTTCCTTTCCTTTCTCTAGACTGCTCCTATCATCCAAGAAATGAACCCACTTCTCCAAAGAAATGCAAGAATGTCCCTGAAATTGACTTCAGAGGCAAAGGTTCCTCTGTGTCCTCAGAGTGGACCTCCGTAAGGGTTATCCCAGAAGAAGAGATGACTGAACACAACCTTTTGGCTGTTCGGGTTATGGTAACCAGTGATGGAAGCAGGTATTGTGGAATTCGTGTAGTTTGGTGACTGAAGATAGACAGCAAGTTTACAGTTCCAGAGGTTTCCCTCTTCTCCATTAACAAAACACAAGAGATAATAAAACACAAGAACATTAATCTTTACAGGTGCTATAAACCTTACATAGGCATATGACTCACTTGCAGGAACATTTTACGTCCCAATGACCTGAATCAGAGGGGTAAAAAAATTAAACCAAATGTTGCTACAATATATAATTGTAAAATTTGCAGTATTTCAATAAGGGCTGCTGTAATTTCTGGAATAAAAATTCTTCGATTTGTAGTTCAGAACTAGAATCTGATTATTATGGTGATTCATCCAGTTCCGAGTTTAACAAAGGGCTACTGCCTTCACCTGAGCCCAGGAGCTACACCTCAACTTCACCAAGGCTTCTCCCCTTGAATACAAGCTTGGTCCAAAAAGAAGAATGCCATGCAAAGTCCAAGCCTGCAAATAGTAAGAGAATTTAAGCAGCAAATGTTGTGTCTTTGTTGTTGTTGCAAGGTGCTCAGCGTTTGATCTATCCCGTTGCACATAGCTCAACTCTACTGAGTAGGCCACGGTGCTGTAGATTCTTTTTTTAGAATTCTAAGGAGAGCAAGACCACACACACGGAGTTAGATTTATGAACCAAACCAGTTTTTTCCAGTAAGACCTTTTATGCCTTTTCCAAGAAATAGTTGATGCAAAATTATCTAACATTAGAAGAAGAAGAAGAGATTGGATTTATACCCCGCCCTTCACTACCCAAAGGTGTCTCAGAGCAGCTTACAAACTCCTTTCCCTTCCCCTCCTCACAACAGACACCCTGTGAGGTAAAAGAAGAAGAGATTGGATTTATAACCCACCCTTCACTACCCAAAGGTGTCTCAGAGTGGCTTACAAACTCCTTTTCCCTTCCCCTCCCCACAACAAACACCCTGTGAGGTAAAAGAAGAAGAAG